TTAAATCGTGCCTATCCTTTCGTAGGGAGACCTTTCGTGACCCCACTCGTTCAATTAGTCACTTCATATATCTGATGTGTCGACGTATAAGTGACGTTTCTCATCAAATGCTCTTGCTCCTGCAATGCTTTGATTACGAGTGGCTTACCAAAAAGGACACCGCGGTTCAGGCCTTGAGAAAACGTGGCCAAGATGAAGAGGATGTTAAGCAGGAATTTGTTTTTCCCAACTATAAACGTCTTCTTAAGGAATTATTCCAAATTGTTGGTGAGAAGGAGTTGGGTATTCTCAAATGGTTGGCCAGGACTCTGCACCAGATTGATAAAATTCTATCAATTTCTCCGCATGATTTGGATCGGTATAGCCCAATTTATTTTTCTTCAATGATTTTCAGTTGAAGTGGATTGATATTATGATTCTCATTCGTTTCCAGAATTTTGATGGTTTCGTCGTGGCATACGGAGAATGGTGTTCTTCGTGACTGGCTGAGGGACATTTTCCCGAGATTACAAGATCACCCAAAGGTATATGCGCAAACACTTTATCCAATAGATTTCTACTTAAAACGGGACTCACGGTTGACCCTTTTTAGACTCCTAAGCAAGAATTTCATGTCGATAAGACGTCATCATGCATTCAAGGCATTTCGTCATTATTCATTAACTCCTCGTCCTACGATCAATTGGGAACCGGTTTAGCGCAGTTCCTTTCGAGGCAAGATGTGAAAATCAAGGACTGCACCACCTTGGAACCCCCGACATTGATGGATATCGAATTTTTCCTTCTAATTCTATTCATACAAAGACACTATTATTGTGTGACTGATGGAGAGGCAGAAACGATAGGCCAGATTTTATACTTGGAAGCGAAAGACTTTTGGAAACCGAGCGAAAGTCATAGAAGATTTTGGCAAACATTATTGCATTTATATGGAAAGGTATGAATGTGTTATGCTCGTTTATTGGTAATATTTTAGTTCGCGATTAATTTTAGGATTGACACTGTCACTGTTATTGCTATTAGGTTGATCGAGATAAACGTGTCTACACCGGTGACATACTATCCAATGATGAATTTTTCCAATGCCTCTCAGAGATTCGTGGTGAATTTAACATGCAAGATTATGATTACGATGAGGATCAAATCCAGTCCGCTGTCATGTTACAAAGAGATTTGTATTTGTTGATGGCTTCCATATTTAAGGTGCAATATTTACCTATTTCTGGAAAAGTGTGAAATTGTTATCGACATGCTAATCCGAAATTTGGAAATATGGTCTAGAATATGATCACAAATTATCATCAGCCCCGATCAATGGAGGGTTTACGATGTATTGAAATTTACCAGAATTGGAAGAAGAATTTCTCCGCTGATGTGCCTTCCAGTTCATCAAATGTTAAAAAAAGTAGGAAATTTGCAATATATGATTGCAATGTTAAAGATACGGGATACCGAACGTGAGTTATTTTAATGGTCGTTTGTTTTGTTGATTCCTTACGTGTTAATTGATATCTTTAACTCAGATTTATCCCCCTTGAGGAAATTTCCGAGGCGGATGATTTGATAGAGCAATTGTCGTCGATATTCATTGACAATGGGAACGGTTCTATTCAGCAATTGGATCAAACCATGCAACAGTGGGATACATTTGACGATTATGTAAGTTTCCTGGACGAAAAACCGAACGACAATATACCGGCATCACTAACAAAAGATCAAAAGAGTGACGAATTACCACCGGAGAAGAAAAATCAAGTGGTCACAATTGATTTGTCAATTGATGAAGACTCAACGTTGTTGATAGATGAATCTGAAGAAAGCGTGTTGTCTGGCGAAGAATTTGACGAAGACTTTTTCACCCCGTCCATGACTACCTCTGGAGAGAATATTGTCAAACCGGAAAGTCCCGATAGTCGAGACATTCAGGATGATGCTGAACTGGATGATGTCGCCGATCTTCAAGAAGATTCTTTGGAAAGTAGCGACGACGCGGCCGAAAATGATGTAAATTTGAGCAATGATGAGGATCTAATCCTTATTGGAAAGGGAATGAATATGTCATCCGAACCAACTTCCGCCGGCGACTCCTCATTTATAAATGTGGAGCAGTCACTTGAAGATTGGGATGTAAGCATTATAAAACAGGCCGAGGATCAAGCAGCAACAGTTCCTGACAGTGCAGATGCATAATGTGATATTCGCACCAACCCGGAATAACAATAAATAATTCTTACGCGGTAACAAGATAAAATTGAATTCGATGTTTCACGTGATTGTGAAAAGTTAAAATAGCTTATTGGCGAATTCCTGAGATGCGTCATAATCAGCGAATTCGTTCGTTCGTCTTTTTTTTTTTTAGGATTCAGAATTAGGGTAGACGAGCATTTTTAGAGCTAAAAATTTAAAATTGCACAATCTAGATACGTCATATAACTCAATACAAAAAATAGAGGTAATTAATTATATACTAGTTTTACTGTATATAAAAATCAAAATATTCAAAGTCAATTGTTATTTCTAATTATATTGGTTATTCAATTTTAATAAAAAAAATTATTTTTTTAAAAGAAACTACAAAACTTTATTAAATTAAAGATTTAAATTAATTATAGCTTTATCAATAGAACTTAGTTTAACAAAGTTGAATATACTGTTTTTTTTTTTTTTTAAACATCAGCTCAGCCTTAACTTTATTGAATATAGTTTTTAAATGTCGATAAGTACATGTTAAAAATATAAATATAAACCTAAAAAGCTATCGATATAACTATACTGGTCAACCTTGGGCATATTACTATCTCTAAAGTGAGAACTAGTGAAAAATCACTAGTGCTGAAAAATTTTTGAGGAAGAGGAAGAAGGGAGGTCAAAAAATAAATGAGTGGATGGGATAGTTAATCTATATATACAATTCCTTGCTGTGTGACTTATACAGGAGGAAGAAAATTTTGTTCAAGGTATTCATTAAAACTTCTCAAGTAGTATCAAATATCCATTTATATAGAATAGTGGAAACACTAATATATAGTTTGATTATATTTTAGATCCTCTAATAATTTTTGCGCAATATCAGTTGTGTACAGATGCCTTTATCTAAATTCTTGAAAAATGTGGGAATCTCAGCCATTGTCTTTGATAGTCAACTTGTGCTCCCTTGCAAAAGCTCCTAAAACATTAATGCAGATTATATATGGGAGTAAGATATTGATGCTCAGTAGAAAGTAAGAATTCTTTAGAATAACTACTAAGTCACTTTTTCAGGAAGGTATGGGGGAAGGAAAAGTGGATTCAATTTCATTTAGAAATGAAAAGAGGTTGGGGATAGGACATATGTATTGATACCGGTAGACCAATCCACAGACTATTTTCTTTGATCCTTGTCATTATATAATAGTACAATAAAGGTTACTATTCATACACTCTATTCTCTGTATCCTAAAAGCTGAGCCAAGAAATAAATAGAGGAACTAGTATCTTATTGTCAAATCTTTATCTATTCGATGGAGCTAGGAGAATCTATTTAGCAATTAGAGGTAGATGATTGTATCTCCAAAAATAGACGCAGCATCTAATAACCTTTACTATAGTTGGATGAACTTTTTTTGAAGATGATCAATGACTTGTGTGATAGTGTGTCTTATATCCACCTGCATCAGACCCAATGACTTATAGTGGATCCCAGGTTCTTATGGGACTAAAGAAATATATTTGAGACACATGAAGTGACCAATAGGAGCTTATTTATTTCTTTTATTAATGTGTACTCTATCTGTCCAATCATGGTGTGAAAAACTTTGTGCTATTCAAAATTCAGGATCAAACTAAGGTAGGCAAAATTTCTCAGAAAAAAAATCCAAAACGAGTACTATAAGAAGTAACAAATAACAAGAGAGTAGAGAAGTTGTCTCTCATCATGACAATATTTCTGTAGTGTTTCTCTATAATGTGAGATAGTGGCACATTAGTTCTTCTTTCTTTTAAAACTTTCTTGTCATGGGTAAGAAAGGTATTTCTTGACCTTTAAAGTCACTAGAGATCAAGTTTTTGTTTGAAGAGGATAGTAAGCAAGAGAAGTGAAGGTAGTTAATGACTCTTGAAGCTTTTTTAAGTTGATTTAAGGAAAGGAGTAAGACTTTATTAGTCTAGCAGTATAAAAACTTCTTGTGAACATCTTTTTTATGTGTGATCAGAGGATTAGCAGAAAAAGTGATTTGAATTTTTTTCAGAAGTTAAATATAATGTATTTAATAGATGTTATAATTAATAATATTATTGTTGATTCAAAAAAGAACCAAAACTCTTTCCCATAGATCTTTGACCACCATTTCCAAAGAAGCGTTCCTTCAAAACTTTATATTTTGAGAGTAATAAAACTTCAAAACTTTCTTTAAAAACACCTGCTTCACTTAGCAGTAGTCATATTTTACCCTCTTGTTTACTTTTTCTCTTCAAAAACTCTCTACCTAAGAAGTTAATGGCAAAAAAGCTTTTCTAGGAAGAAGAAACCAGACGAAAAAATACCCTCCTTCTCTTTCCTATGGAGGTCCCAAAGTCCAGGAAGAAGTGTAGGCCAACAACTCCATGCCAGCTTGCTGACATCACTACCACAGACAAAAATGACTTCTCTCTCAGTGTGTAGCGGTTTTTTTTTTGGTTTTTTTGGAAAATTTTGCCTACTCTAGCTTGACCCTGAATTTTCTGTTACACCAAATTTTGGATAGATTGATTGGCTGAAAATTGGAATTGGTTGCTTCATGGTTAGCAGAAATGTAAACAAGGATACACGTGATACATGACGTGAATGCATTTCCTAAGCTCCATAAGAACCTTAGGTCCATCATAAGTCATTGGTTGGAAGTGCGGGTGGATAAACATCACATGAACTGTGGTCTCCTCTTTCTCATTATTATCCGAAAGTGTCATGGCTATGGAATGAGTACCTCTCCTATTGGAATGGAACCTCAAGAACTCATACTACTCGAAGACACAACTATTCTTCCATTCCAAAAATCACTCCAGGGTTTTTCTATTCTGATCCAAATGGTTTTTTCACCCTCGTATGACACAAAATACTATCAAACTCACACTCTTTCTCTGAACACACTTGATAATTGGTGACAGGTTATAATCACCAGGATTAATAAGAAAGATGTACTTCTCCTTTCTTGAAACTAGCAAGTCCACCATGGCATGTTAGTTGGGAGGACTCCGGAAGGATTGAAGATCCAATAAGGAGTATTTAGTTTTTTCTAGATAGTAGTAGTAGTAGAAATTTAATTCAACTGGATATCTCCGGACAACAAGTCACCCAGTAAATCCGTTAAAGGTCAGATTTTAGGAAGTTCTATTGACATAAATGATATATGGCTCCACATGACAATTTTTGTAATCTCTGCATTAATTTGTATATTACATTATCAAAGTTAATCAACATGGTTGAACTTCCGTTCCAAAAAATATTATTGTTGATTTGAAAAATATTTTATTAATAAAATTATTATTTAGTACAAAAAAATTTAAGATTTTGTTTTTTATTGATTATTATTGATTAAAGGAGTTAATGAATTATTTATTATAGTTTATTTTTTTTATTTAATTTCAATATTAAAAATATCATAATAATATTAAAAGTATTATAACAATGCTGAATTGAATCTATTTGTTTAAATTTTATAAAATTTTAAAGAATTTATAAGAGATTTCAATATTATACTTAAATTTTTTATAAATTATTAAAAAAATATTTAAAGCTATATATTATGAAATTTAAAATTTTATATTAATGATTTTTTATTTTTATTATTATTATTATTATTATTATTATTATAACTTTTGAATATTTTTTTTTGTTAAAAATCAGATTAAAGGTATTTTAAATTTATTAGTTTATTTATTGATTAGTGCTAACATTTTTTACAATTAAAAATATACAATTGATTTTTTAATATACATTTTTTTATATATAGTTGCTTCCAAAAGTTTCTATCAAATCAAATCAAAATAGGACCCCTGCTCCTTAATCAAATGTAAAAAAACACTTCAAAATTCGAACCCAATAACAATAGATTTATGAATCCATAAGCAAAATGAATTAAAACATGTATAAAGTACTTAATACAATTTTAAAACTGATCCTTAATATAGTCTTCTCTTCTTCTAGAAATAATCAATAAGCAATATATCAAAACTATCTATATTGGAAAACCCAATATATAATAATACCAATATATAATCTAAGAAGATATTCAAGAATACACAAGAATAAAATTTATCAAACTCTACCTTTATCCAAACAATCATATACTGGAAAACAACTCCAATAATAATAATACAACTATTATATATATACTGAGAAAGATACCTAATATCCAATATAACAAACTACAACTTTCAATATTCAAGATCTAATAAACAAACACAAGAAAGAGATCTAATTTTATTAATATATAGCAAAGGACTGGTGCATCATAGTAACAACTGAGACTAATGGTACCCACCAACAATCAAAACACTGGAAATACTCATCCAATTATATAATTTGATTATATAATAATAAAAAAATAATTGGACAAAACTTAAATCTAATAATTAAAAAAGACATAACAGATCACATTTACAAAGACAGCACTTGAAAGAAAAACTGATCCATATAGATCTTGTATTCTCCAAAAAACAAAAACTCAAAATCATAGATATTTATTTCTATACAGATAAGAGAAACAAAAGCTACAAAACACTTTTAACAAATTAAAGCAATGGATGCAATAAGCACTTCAAAATAATGACATCTTCTTGTTCTAGGAGATCTAAATGGAGTTTTCAATCCAATATTGGATAAAAACAATGGATACAAATAAAGCACATCTAACAAACCAACAGGTTTTCAAATAAAAATATATATAGACTATAGTCTAGAGAACATATATAAGCTCTATAATCCAAGCAAAAAAAAATATGCATAGAACTGAAATGACAGCAGTAGCAAAATTTATCTAATTTAAATAAATATACTTCCATAATAGCAAAGTAGAAAAGTCAATATTGAAAAAGCTCTGGATCTGCTAATCTTCAATGATCACAAACCCACTACTATTGAAATAGAAATATGATAACTGAACTTATACAAGGAGACCTTCTATTACTAGTCAAATCATAAATATAATTGATAATTAGCAAATAGTAAACAATGG